AAGGGTTGAATTTTTTTAACCTCAGTGTGCTAGACTTCCTATCGGTAATGCGTCCCGAGACCTGGACTCCCCCTCTGAGTCAGAAAGGCTACGACCCCGACCCTCCAAGCTGACAAAAGACCTAACCCAACAGGAGACTCCTCCTTCTCCATCGAACAGACAGAGAACCAGAGCTGAACCAACAACAACAACAAGACTGCATCCAGTACTGCAGCCAGAACTATCTCCACCTGTGGCATCCAGAACCAAACGGCATGCTGACATACAGAGAGATACTCTCATTAGTCCCTCAGACAGGACATGAAGTTCCAAGCTGAGCCACGAGATTTGGCACAAGAGCAAAGTGTGGGACATGAGAGCAGAATCCGCCCTCCATAAAAACAGTAGAGAGACTGTAAAGGAGGAGATGAAATGCAAAGCAGTACAAGAACAGTGGCATGATGTGGGCTGCAGATGTAACCGGGCCAAAGGCTGCCTAAAAGAGTTACAGCCGATGGATTCAAAAGCTGATGGACTGAAGACAGAATCAGAGGAGTTGGCATGGTCGATTGGAAGTGAGGAGGCCGGGGTCACGGCTTGAGAAAACCAGGGGAGGAGAACAGGAAAACGGGAATGAGTGAGTTTACACATAAACACACTTATTCACAAAACGCACATAAAAGTGACCACATTTAAAGAACTTGAATTGACTTAATAAATACGTAAAGACAAAAAGATGTATTAACCATGAATTAATCAATTGGTAAATTAAAATAGCAGTAAAAAGGAAACTATTAAAGTAAAATGAGAATCATTCTAAAACACACTGAGGGATAAAGGGGGAGACATGATGGAAACATTCACTACACTTTAAGCAGTGGGTGTTTGAGTACAGAGTAGAACTATATTCTTCAATCTTTCCATCATGTTAACAAATTGTTCGTTAAGAGATTCTTATTCATGTGTGAATAAAGTGGTGATTTAATTTGTTACAATATTGATCTACAGATTAAAGGGATAGTTTTAGGAACCACTGTATAAGTTCAGACAAATCTTTATTTGTATGGATAATGTTAAAGGGAGAGCTAGGACCAAGCCAAATATAGTATTCCAATCTAAAGTATTGGTTTCACCATTGTGGCATAGTTATCACCATAGGAGGGCTTTAAGATGGAAATATGAAATGACTTCTGTTTTAAATCCTTGATGAAGGAGGGAGTAATTGCTGCATGTTCGAACACCCAAGGTTCCACACACTGCTAAGGGGATTAACATTGTTTTTTAAGTAGACCAGAAAAGGGGTTTAAATGAGTATAAGGAGTTATGAAATACAGAGCTACACAGATCCTAATAATGTTTTGACTCAAGATAATAGCCACATGTACATACGTTTCTGAAATAGATATTTTAGACATTTTAATACTAATTAGGTGTAAATAAACTGCAGTAGTAGTACTATAAGGAAGTGAATTTTGTACCAAATTTCAAGAAAGGTGGGAGGCAGAAGTCCCAATGAAAAGTTAGAACCATCTTGAAAATCATAGTTGAAATCGTGAATGAATAAGGAATGGCGCTCCGCATATGACATATTTTTGTAGATAAAGGGTACCCGCCTATGCTGAATTACCTCTGTAAAGACTCTGCAGAGCATGACATGGCCAAAAGACCGAGACCAAATGACCTTTGACCCTGACTGACAGTGTGACAAAAGCACTGTCAATGACTGACTCTGGGGTGTACCTGACCGAACCTGACTTGACAACCAGACGGTATGAGTGTGAATGAATGCCGGCATGTGATCAGTGTAACTGCATGATTCTAAAACAATAACTAACCAAGCATGGTTTTGGACTAACATATTATTTTGGAGCTCCAAGGGAAACGAGAGGTTTCCTCTAATTCCACAAAAATGGGAAACCGCACATGGGACCCGTTTCTAATCTACTTGATGATATTTTACTCCCACAGGAGTTGGCGTTTTGCAAATGAAAAACTCAAACTATAATCTGAAGATTCTGTTTCTTTTAGGACTGAAAGATGAAGAGAAACACTTATTTTCACTGAGGTGTTTACTGTGGAAAGATAATAATAATAATGGATGTAAAATTGCTATGTCCCTAACCAAAATGTAACTGAAAGTTTTCTTTCCTCCCCATTTCAGGATTTTATTACACATGAGTTCATGTGTAAAAAGGGGGAGTGTGTATAATGTATAACGTCAACATGGCTGTCAAATTCACAATTTAAATTTTTCTTTTAGGGATTGAAAGAAACCTTCCGCCCCAACCTAGATGTTCAAACTGAGCATTGAATGATAGTTTTAGAATTAACCTGCTCCATATCTGGGGATAAGATACTGTTTGATGAATGTTGACATGTTTCAATATTGATTGGATTTTGAACAGGTAACACAGATGCAGAAGCAGTGGCCAAGGGGCTACTGTGAGAGATGTAATTCCAGAATGGAATACCAAAGAAGTTGACCTGTGATAATGACACAATTTTGTAATATTTTAACAGACATTAGAGTAACTGAGGTTTGAAATATAGAAAGAACATATTACAGTTAAGCTAAAACATAGTAATGTAATGACACAGAATTTAATTTAGACAACATCTTGTAACTAGCCTGGTAAAGAAATAGAAGTAAAAGCCATATACTTTATTGTTTAGGTCATTATGGGGATATACATTTAAATTTATAATAGAAAGACATTTGATGACAGTATGCTGGACCATGACTTTAGTTGTTTTTGAATCCATAATGAAATTATATTACATAACGTTAGTGTGTGTCTTTACCACAAACAGGAATGGTTCATTGTTATATTTAGATTTGAGAAAGATTACAAGGATTTTATTTAGGAACAACACAGATGCTCATCAGACATTTCGAGCTATTGAAATATGTTATTTAGTTCACCATGAAGATGTTTTATTTTGTTTGTAACATATGCCGAGTATTAAGATTTAGATATCAGCAGGTTCTGAATTATTATTCCTCTGTCCCACAACCAACAAGAATGTGGATGGGGAGAACTATATCTGCTATAACCAGCAGAGATTCATAAATCACACCAGAGACACAGTAAAAGGATGACACAAACAGTCAGATAAAAACAGACCGATAGAATAGCGCTAGACATTAGTTGAAAAAGGGAGTGTATGCAAAACTGAAGAGGATGGGATTGTTTAAATAAAGAGTCATATTTTCAGATAGTTTTATCCTTCTTATATTTTGTGAAAGAACAAGTGCCTTTACACCAGATACAGTATGAAGATGATATATATGATGTGAAAGGAGGGAGTTCGACGTTTTCCATACCAAGCTAATTGCTGCTATTTTACGGAGTGACATTAAAGGTTTAAGCTAGAAGTTATGCACAAATGAAAAACTTCGCATTTATAATGAATATGTATTGTTCCTATTTGTATTTTCTACCCTTTATGAGTTATGTACTATGCAAAGTTCAGATGAAGAACTCATTGATTTCAGTATTATGTTCATACCTTAAAGGGTATGAAAGGAGGGATTGTTAGAAATTAAAATCAATGTTGATGTGGCGTAATTTGAATGAAATACACTGTATTTAATTTAAATCTGTTTTATTCTGAAAACCGAAGATTCACAAGTGACTTCCGGTTTTCCGCTGGTGAATTTCGTCATTTCCGGTTAGCATTAGCATGTGGCAAAATGCTACGTTTTCAAACCGTGAATTGAAGGTGAAATAACGTGATGTTGTACACTAAACACCCTGGGTTTAACACTCATTTATTGACGCAGGAATGAGGTTTATTAGGGAATGTTTAGATGACCACAGACATCTGAGTGATGTAATTCAGCAGCAGAAACCGACAGGATTTGCATTGGACACGCCCCCGTCGACGCCGGCCAATAGGAGAAGACTACAGTTGTTACCCGGGAGACACAAGAAGGATCTCTCGCTCTCCTTGCCCCCAGCTGACCCAGCGCGGACCGGGACCAAACAGCTGGCAGGGGGGAACCACCAACGCGCACATTTCATTTGTAAACCACTGCATCTTTTGTGTAATTAAATGCTGTTAACTTTTATAAGCTTGCCTTGACTCTTTTCAGTCTCTCCTGCTCTCGGGGTTCAAGAACCACTAACAGTCGTTATTTAATTTAATCTGGCTCCGTATGATTAAAAGCAACACGATCATCGACCCGACGCAGTACCCCGTTGTTGTGAGCGCCGTTGGGGAGAAAATCAGCGATGTAAACGGTGACGTCATGACGCAGCAGCGGCAGCACCAGTCGGGCTCTGGGCGGTGTGAACAGAGCGGGAGCTGAAAAGGGAAACCGGAGCTGAACCAGAAAAGCTCCAGCTCGGAGCTAGAAAGGGAAAAGCGCTGGTGTGAAAGCCGCATCTGTGGTCCTGGTTTAGAACCAGTTCTAAATCAGGACCTGAGAGAGACAGGGTTCTGGTCCTGGTTGTGGTTCTGGTTCTGTTTAGTGGTTCTGGTTCTGTTAGAGGTTCTGGTTCTGTCAGTGGTTCTGGTTGTGGTTCTGGTTCTGTTAGAGGTTCTGGTTCTGTCAGTGGTCCTGGTTGTGTCAGTGGTTCTGGTTCTGGTTGTGTCAGTGGTTCTGGTTCTGGTTGTGTCAGTGGTTCTGGTTGTGTCAGTGGTTCTGGTTCTGGTTGTGTCAGTGGTTCTGGTTGTGTCAGTGGTTCTGTGAGAGGTTGTGGTTGTGTTAGAGGTTGTGGTCCTGGTTGTGCTAGAGGTTCTGGTTGTGGTTCTGTTAGAGGTTCTGGTTCTGTGAGAGGTTCTGGTTGTGGTTCTGTGAGAGGTTGTGGTTGTGGTTCTGTTAGAGGTTGTGGTTCTGTCAGAGGTTGTGGTTCTGTTAGAGGTTGTGGTTCTGTCAGAGGTTGTGGTTCTGTGAGAGGTTCTGGTTGTGGTTCTGGTTCTGTGAGAGGTTGTGGTTCTGTGAGAGGTTGTGGTTGTGGTTCTGTGAGAGGTTGTGGTTCTGTGAGAGGTTGTGGTTCTGTGAGAGGTTCTGGTACCTGAGCGGCTCTCCTGCAGCTCCTTCAGAGCGTGGGCCAGTTCTTTGAAGCCCTCCAGGTTCTTGTCGTTCTGGCTGTAGAGCAGAATCTTCTTGGCGTCGGAGAACAGGCGGGAGATTCTGGAACAGAGGTCAGAGTTCAATAAAACACCACATTATAAAGTCAGATATCATAAAGATGAAGAGAGAACTGACAGACATTTGGATTTTCAGAATAAAAGTCTGTAAAATGTAAGAACCTGAAGTTTAAAGAACCACAGTTTCAATACATCTGTTGAAGTTCAGAGAGTCCATCTTTAAAAAAACGACTTTAAATTGAAGATCAAATCAGATTTTCAGAATAAAAGTCCATGTAATATATAGTGGTTCTTCAAAGACTAACACCCTGTGTGTTTTAAGTCAAAGGGTGATCTTTACTCTTTCATCGTTTCTAGATTAATGCTGATTGGATTTTCAGAATAAGAGCCTCACATGGAGTCGTTGAAGTTTCCCACGACCCCCGGACTCTCTCCAGGCGTTGGGCTCCTGAAACACGGGTTGTTGGCGTTGCAGAGGATTCCCTGTAACCATGGCAACGTGCCGGCTGACGGCATCGCCTTGTTGGGGAAGTGACCTGCAGACACACAGATACACAGGAAGTGACTCTCTTACCAAAGTAAAAGCATCGACAGACACACAAACAGGAAGTGACTCTCTTACCAAAGTAAAAGCATCGACAGACACACAAACAGGAAGTGACTCTCTTACCAAAGTAAAAGCATCGACAGACACACAAACAGGAAGTGACTCTCTTACCAAAGTAAAAGCATCGACAGACACACAAACAGGAAGTGACTCTCTTACCAAAGTAAAAGCACCAACAGACACACAAACAGGAAGTGACTATCTTACCAAAGTAAAAGCACCAACAGACACACAAACAGGAAGTGACTCTCTTACCAAAGTAAAAGCATCGGCAGACACACAAACAGGAAGTGACTCTCTTACCTGAAAAAATGAAAGTGGCCAGGAGCTACTTGCATCACATCGTTTTCATTTATTCACATAGCACTCGTCAGTTGAATTAAGCGACCTTTGTACACGTGTGAAATTGCAATACCTAAAGCTTATCACAAATCTTAACTTCACATCAAGGTCCAAGAAAACGACCATTTCTCACATATTATTATGGCCCACACAGTGAGTACATCGCCTTAATCACCACCTGACAAGCATCTCACTCTTTTTCACAGTCAGTGAGAGGACTGGCCCTGCATGGAGTCCACCATAGAGGGGTCTGCTGGACCCACTTAGGTTCACTCTAATAGAGTCATTTAAATGTTCCTCACTCAGTCTTGTTCTATTTTTAGATCTCATTCATGTCAGAAAAAGCTGCTTCACAAAGTAGAGCCAAATAAAGCAGACACGTTCAGTGCTGCTTGGTGATGTTCTTATAGTTTTCTGGGTCTACAAGGCTCTGAACGTCAGCAGGAGAGGACTCTTTAAAGTAGAGACACTACATGCTGATATACACCTGGACATCAGCAGGAGAGGACTCTTTAAAGTAGAGACACTACATACTGATATACACCTGCACGTCAGCAGGAGAGGACTCTTTAAAGTAGAGACACTACATACTGATATACACCTGAACATCAGCAGGAGAGGACTCTTTAAAGTAGAGACACTACATACTGATATACACCTGAACATCAGCAGGAGAGGACTCTTTAAAGTAGAGACACTACATACTGATATACACCTGGACATCAGCAGGAGAGGACTCTTTAAAGTAGAGACACTACATACTGATATACACCTGGACATCAGCAGGAGAGGACTCTTTAAAGTAGAGACACTACATACTGATATACACCTGAACATCAGCAGGAGAGGACTCTTTAAAGTAGAGACACTACATACTGATATACACCTGAACATCAGCAGGAGAGGACTCTTTAAAGTAGAGACACTACATACTGATATACACCTGAACATCAGCAGGAGAGGACTCTTTAAAGTAGAGACACTACATACTGATATACACCTGAACATCAGCAGGAGAGGACTCTTTAAAGTAGAGACACTACATACTGATATACACCTGAACATCAGCAGGAGAGGACTCTTTAAAGTAGAGCCTCTTTAATATTTGATATCTCTTTGATTGACAGCTGGTCAACACGTGCAGCTCGTGAACACGTGTTTGATGGAGGTGTTTATCTGCTGCAGCGTTGGAAGGTCACCTGAAGTCTGAAGGTAGATAACGAGGCTCTTCATTATCATGGAGGAGGCCAGACCGACCTTTGACCCCCCACCGCTATCAGAGGAGCTGCAGGAACCTTTAAGACTGTCGACTGCCAACAAGCATTTTCTAATCACATAGATTAGATAAGAGGATTCATTCTGACACACACACACACACACACACACTTTGATCGACTGGTCACAGGGGGTCTTCACAGGGGGTCTTCACAGGTAATAAACAGAGTAACGCAGGACTGAATAAAACTATTAAATAAATCAACAACAAAAAAAGTGAAACATTTTCAAAAATATAAAAAGTGTCATGTTTTTTTCAATCAGGATCAAAATCCAGATTCTAAAAAGAAAGACAAATTAAAAGACAATATATATATATATCTATAAAATATGTGATTGAATGAAAGAGCTGTGTTCAATTTTCCGAAATCTAAAAGTTAATGTAAAGTTAATCTTGGTATCATTATCGTTCACAGTTTTCTGTTTGTTTAATATCTGATTCCCTGAGAGCCAATCACACGGCCTTATCTGCTAACTGTCTTTATCCTCCGATGGTAATCTGCACATGATTCCAGGAACAACTGCGAGTGTCCTGCAGGTCAGAAAGTTCCTCTCATCGCTTCCTGAAGGTCCATTACAGACGTCTCCGCTATTTCACAAGAGTGTGTGTGTGTGTTATGTGTGTGTGTATGTGTATACGTGTGTATGTGTTATGTGTGTGTATATGTGTGTGTGGACTTGCCCTCGCGTTACTTCTACAGAAATGTTTAAACCCAGATGAATTAAAGTTTGTTTCCATGGTTTCGCCCCCGCAGCAGCCTTTGTTAGACTCTTATTTAATGATGGATGTATTATATGGTGTGTGTGCGTGTGTGGTGTGTGTGACTCAACCCGTCTTATTATCTGTAATTCATCTCCTCTTAGTTCCCCTGTTTTCTGCAGCCTGCGGGGGGGTTTGTGCTGAAGTGAACTCTTTAAAGCGAGATTCAACACGTCGGCTGAATCACCGCTTAGAAATCTCTGCTTCAGAAACAGGATGACCCGCCCCCCCCCCTCACGCACTGAGGATTTACAGATGTGAGCTTTAAAGAGTCCTCTCCTGCTGATGTTCAGGTGTATATCAGTATGTAGTGTCTCTACTTTAAAGAGTCCTCTCCTGCTGATGTTCAGGTGTATATCAGTATGTAGTGTCTCTACTTTAAAGAGTCCTCTCCTGCTGATGTTCAGGTGTATATCAGTATGTAGTGTCTCTACTTTAAAGAGTCCTCTCCTGCTGATGTTCAGGTGTATATCAGTATGTAGTGTCTCTACTTTAAAGAGTCCTCTCCTGCTGATGTTCAAGTGTATATCAGTATGTAGTGTCTCTACTTTAAAGAGTCCTCTCCTGCTGATGTTCAGGTGTATATCAGTATGTAGTGTCTCTACTTTAAAGAGTCCTCTCCTGCTGATGTTCAGGTGTATATCAGTGTGTAGTGTCTCTACTTTAAAGAGTCCTCTTCTGCTGATGTTCAGGTGTTTATCAGTATGTAGTGTCTCTACTTTAAAGAGTCCTCTCCTGCTGATGTTCAGGTGTATATCAGTATGTAGTGTCTCTACTTTAAAGAGTCCTCTCCTGCTGATGTTCAGGTGTATATCAGTATGTAGTGTCTCTACTTTAAAGAGTCCTCTCCTGCTGATGTTCAGGTGTATATCAGTATGTAGTGTCTCTGCTTTAAAGAGTCCTCTCCTGCTGATGTTCAGGTGTATATCAGTATGTAGTGTCTCTACTTTAAAGAGTCCTCTCCTGCTGATGTTCAGGTGTATATCAGTATGTAGTGTCTCTACTTTAAAGAGTCCTCTCCTGCTGATGTTCAGGTGTATATCAGTATGTAGTGTCTCTACTTTAAAGAGTCCTCTCCTGCTGATGTTCAGGTGTATATCAGTATGTAGTGTCTCTACTTTAAAGAGTCCTCTCCTGCTGATGTTCAGGTGTATATCAGTGTGTAGTGTCTCTACTTTAAAGAGTCCTCTTCTGCTGATGTTCAGGTGTTTATCAGTATGTAGTGTCTCTACTTTAAAGAGTCCTCTCCTGCTGATGTTCAGGTGTATATCAGTATGTAGTGTCTCTACTTTAAAGAGTCCTCTCCTGCTGATGTTCAGGTGTATATCAGTATGTAGTGTATCTGCTTTAAAGAGTCCTCTCCTGCTGATGTTCAGGTGTATATCAGTATGTAGTGTCTCTACTTTAAAGAGTCCTCTCCTGCTGATGTTCAGGTGTATATCAGTATGTAGTGTCTCTACTTTAAAGAGTCCTCTCCTGCTGATGTTCAGGTGTATATCAGTATGTAGTGTCTCTACTTTAAAGAGTCCTCTCCTGCTGATGTTCAGGTGTATATCAGTATGTAGTGTCTCTACTTTAAAGAGTCCTCTCCTGCTGATGTTCAGGTGTATATCAGTGTGTAGTGTCTCTACTTTAAAGAGTCCTCTTCTGCTGATGTTCAGGTGTATATCAGTATATAGTGTCTCTACTTTAAAGAGTCCTCTCCTGCTGATGTTCAGGTGTATATCAGTATGTATTGTCTCTACTTTAAAGAGTCCTCTCCTGCTGATGTTCAGGTGTATATCAGTCAGTAGTGTCTCTACTTTAAAGAGTCCTCTCCTGCTGATGTTCAGGTGTATATCAGTATGTAGTGTCTCTACTTTAAAGAGTCCTCTCCTGCTGATGTTCAGGTGTATATCAGATGTAGTGTCTCTACTTTAAAGAGTCCTCTCCTGCTGATGTTCAGGTGTATATCAGTATGTAGTGTCTCTACTTTAAAGAGTCCTCTCCTGCTGATGTTCAGGTGTATATCAGTATGTAGTGTCTCTACTTTAAAGAGTCCTCTCCTGCTGACGTTCAGGTGTATATCAGTATGTAGTGTCTCTACTTTAAAGAGTCCTCTCCTGCTGATGTTCAGGTGTATATCAGTATGTAGTGTCTCTACTTTAAAGAGTCCTCTCCTGCTGATGTTCAGGTGTATATCAGTATGTAGTGTCTCTACTTTAAAGAGTCCTCTCCTGCAGACCATTTACATGCACTAAAACCTACAGAACACACTATAAGAGAGGGAACACCACAGAGAGAATGATAGGGACTCTTTAGATATGAAGTATGTAGGAAGGAGCAGAAGAAGAAGTACTTCAGAGTATTTAAAGTAATTGATTCTGGACGCTTGATGTTGATAACGTTTATTCTAACTTTATTGATCCTGAGGACACAGCGCATGATGAAGAGCCATACACTGAGGAGTGATAAATAAATGTGTTCCTTCAGATCAATAACTCTAACCTGAGGCTTGTGTCCTCAACGCGTCCTCAACGCGTCCTCAACGCGTCCTCAACGCGTCCTCAACGCGTCCTCAACACGTCCTCAACGCGTCCTCAACACGTCCTCAACGCGTCCTCAACATGTCCTCAACGCATCCTCAACATGTCCAAAACACATCCTCAACATGTCCTCAACGCGTCCTCAACATGTCCTCAACGCGTCCTCAACACGTCCTCAACGCATCCTCAACATGTCCTCAACGCATCCTCAACATGTCCAAAACACATCCTCAACATGTCCTCAACGCGTCCTCAACACGTCCACAACACGTCCTCAGACAGACCAGAGGAAGGAGATACAGCTTCAGGACCTTTCTTACTAACTTAGTCTGTTTCTGGAGATATCTCATAAATCTACCAACAGTTAGCGCTAAATAACTCCTCATCATACGGAGGCTGACAGGAGCAAATAAACTACACCGATCAAGTCTCTTCCATCAGGAGGAGCAGCTTCAGAAAGGATGCAGATATAAAAACCCAAATGTTCCACATGAAGAAACATCTTCAGCAACACATGCAGCATTTAGAGAACATTCAGCAGCTTCAGGAGACATGGCAGCGTTTACTGAAAGCTGCTGAAACCAAACGCTGAAGAAGCTCAAACACAACGGAGACCAGGGGACACTAAAGAGTGACGCACACAGCTGGGAGACCAGGGGACACTAAAGAGTGACGCACACAGCAAGGAGACCAGGGGACACTAAAGAGTGACGCACACAGCTGGGAGACCAGGGGACACTAAAGAGTGACGCACACAGCTGAGAGACCGGGGACACTAAAGAGTGACGCACACAGCTGGGAGACCAGGGGACACTAAAGAGTGACGCACACAGCTGGGAGACCAGGGGACACTAAAGAGTGACGCACACAGCTGGGAGACCAGGGGACACTAAAGAGTGACGCACACAGCTGGGAGACCAGGGGTCCTTCTCAGGTCGACTATTTTCATTTCCTCGCTCCTCGGTCCTCGGTATCACCGGAAGTTGATTTGTCTGCGCCATCTTGAGTAGCGTCCCATGGCTCTTATTTCTGCCGGAGGACCGAGGATCGAGGAGCGAGGAGCGATAATGGAGGAGCGATAACCGAGGAACTACCAGACCATCCTCCGGTGAAATCCTCAGATACTCTCCCCGCCCCCTTACTGTGTATCGCTCACTGATTGGACGATGCAGCGCATGCACTGATCTGATGCTTCTTGACATGAGAGCAGTTTCCCAGCGGAGTGAAGAAAACACATGAAACTCACGGGACTCACTCCTCAGTTCATACTGTGTTTTGTTTCAATGAATGCATCATTCAGTTACAAATATGTGATATATCTGAACAACAAAGTGGACAAAGATCATTTTATTCATTTATTGGAAACATTTTCATGATCGCTTTTTTCGTTTTACATTTTCATTTATTGTCATTTCCATTCAGTCAGTCATTAAGTGCTATTTAACATGTTAATGTGCTACATATCCACACAAACAAACAAAGTGTGCAATCCAATGAATGTTAATCTAACTGGGTTTTGATAGATAACATATCTCTTTTTCTTCTCTGAATTATTTTATTTCTATTGTGCACTCTAATCAATATTAATCCAACTATTGTTCGTTTATACATTTTAAGAATGGCGTTTATCTTTTTTGAGAATGAGTTCTTATTTTATTTAATGTATTTGGGTCTACAACAGATGATACAAATGTTTGTGTCAGTAAATGTGTACTAACAGAGGCGGGGGTGTTTGTGAAAATAACGGGGACAGAGCTGCTGTCAGACGAACAGCTGTGCGGCGTCATCACAAACGGACGTCGCTTCACGTGACGCTCCGGAGGAAAGGACGTCCCATTGCTCTTAAAACTCATTTCCCTGCTTCTCGTGGTTTCCTTGCGTCTCTCCATGCTTCCCTGGTGGGAGGGACTAAACGCAGGGAAACGACGCAAGTGAGGGACGCAAGGAATCCATTTAATCGACCTGAGAAGGACCCTAGGGGACACTAAAGTGTGACGCACACAGCTGGGAGACCAGGGGACACTAAAGAGTGACGCACACAGCCGGGAGACCAGGGGACACTAAAGTGTGACGCACACAGCTGGAGACCAGGGGACACTAAAGTGTGACGCACACAGCTGGAGACCAGGGGACATTAAAGTGTGACGCACACAGCTGGAGACCAGGGGACACTAAAGAGTGACGCACACAGCTGGAGACCAGGGGACACTAAAGAGTGACGCACAGAGTTAGTCTGTCTCTTAACTGAAGTGTTTCAGTATATCTGAAATGACTCGGTTAGCTACGTTAGTTAGATTCAGAGAGTCAAGATGCAAAGGTGTTATCATCATATGCTCTCAGCAGCTACAGAGTAGAAATTACATTCTTCTGTCCTGAGCTCCTCCCACAATGCAACATATAGAATAAAATACAACAATAAAAAATAAAAAAAGCTAGCTTCATGTGACCACATATTCAAATAAGAACATCAATAAACCTCTCGGCCACTGGAAGGAAACTGGTCATTTAAATAATAATTGTGATATCTGTTAGTGGGTGAGGGGTCAGCTACACATCATGTGTCCTGATGTAGTTACAGTGTGTGTGTGTGTGTGTGTGTGTGTGGACTCACACTCATGCTGCTCGTACGGAGGGTAGTTGAGTCTGACAGCGATGAGGATGAAGAAGATGAAGAGCGGCCAGACGATCTCCACCAGCAGCTGCAGCTGAAGAACCGAACACAAAGATCTGTGTTTATATAACATGTGACACACACACACACACACACACACACACACACACACACACACACACACACACACACACACACACACACACACACACACACACACACACACACACACACACACACACACACACACACACACACACACACACACACACACACACACACACACACACACACACACACACACACACACACACACACACACACACACACACACACACACACACACACACACACACACACACACACACACACACACACACACACTTTTAAATCTGATCTCAGAGGGTTCTACAGATAATCTAATATCAGAGGGTTCTAATCTGATCTCAGAGGGTTCTACAGGTAATCTAATATCAGAGGGTTCTAATCTGATCTCAGAGGGTTCTAATCTGATCTCAGAGAGTTCTACAGATAATCTGATCTCAGAGGGTTCTAATCTAATATCAGAGGGTTCTAATCTGATCTCAGAGGGTTCTAATCTGATCTCAGAGGGTTCTAATCTGATCTCAGAGGGTTCTACAGATAATCTGATCTCAGAGGGTTCTAATCTAATATCAGAGGGTTCTAATCTGATCTCAGAGGGTTCTACAGATAATCTGATCTCAGAGGGTTCTAATCTAATATCAAAGGGTTCTAATCTGATCTCAGAGGGTTCTACAGATAATCTGATCTCAGAGGGTTCTAATCTGATCTCAGAGGGTTCTACAGATAATCTGACCTCAGAGGGTTCTAATCTGATCTCAGAGGGTTCTACAGATAATCTGATCTCAGAGGGTTCTAACCTGGGGCCTATACTACGAATCTAGTTCAACATATCCTGGATATGTTTGAGTTAGCCGGTTGGCCCAATCCAAAACATACGCGCTCTCGCTAAACTGTCCTACGACGCTGGCTATCAACTCGATCGCTCAAGCCAGCCGTGTCCTATCTAGTTAGGTGCGCGTTCACATGAAAGGGGTGGTATTTGGAGCATTCGACCAATCACAAACATGGACAAGCGTACTGACAGCGCAGCGTCATACTTCCTGAATGAAAAGTCAACTAATGTTAGACAAATATGAAGACGTTAAACTTTAAACATCCATGACTTAAACACTTTATCCAGGATCAAAGCCACATAGCTGCACCTGCAAGGTGAATACAGCTGGTAACAGAAAAAGCGTTTGAATGCGTTCATCAACAGGTTTATGATATCACTGCCCCGTCCAAGACACGATCTGACTTTAATTACATTTGACTCGAGTGTTTCGTCAACTTAATGTGTTGCTTAAAATAATACTTCTGCATACAGTATGTGACACTGTGAGTGTTGCACGGCCAGATACGGCTCAGCTGACTCAGATAAGGAAATATATGATACATTATGATGTGATATGATATGAATGATAATGGGACACATCGACGTCTGCACTCACAGTGCCGCGGACAGTACTTAATGTTACTCTGATCCGGTTACTTATGTTGTGGCAGATATTTAAGTAAGCTTTCTTAACGCTAATGTTATAATAGTCAGATTGCTCTGAAGATGGGAGGGGATATTCTATTCATTTTCACGTTCACACAGTCGGTGATTTTGGCCGGACGTCTTTCCTGCAACGGCAGTTTAAACTGTATTTCCTTTCTCCTGTCATATCAAATCAAATCAAATCAAGTTTTATTTATAAAGCACATTTAAAAGCGATTTTTGGTCGAGCCAAAGTGCTGTACATGTAATAAAAACACATTACTACAATCACAATAAAAGACAATAAATTACAACAGATATATATAAAAAAAAAAAAAAAACCCAAGGAAAAGTCAGGAGTCGTGCTCCGCTCTAACTAGAAGGCCAGAGAGAAGAAGTGTGTTTTTAGTGTAGATTTAAAAACCCCTAGGGTCTGGGCCGACCTCACATGGAGGGGCAGAGTGTTCCAGAGCCTCGGGCCAGCTGCTGCGAAGGCTCGGTGCCCTCGGGTTTTAAGCCTGGTCTTGGGCACTACCAGCAGCAGCTGGTCAGCAGACCTTAAAGCTCTGGCTGGGGTGTAGCGCTGGAGCAGTTCAGCTATATAGGCCGGAGCCAGCCCATTAAGTGCTTTAAAAACAAATAAAAGGAGTTTTAAATCAATTCTGAACCGAACTGGAAGCCAGTGCAGTGAGGCCAGAATTGGGGTGATGTGGTCACGCTTTTTGTGGCCAGTCAGCAAACGTGCAGCTGCGTTTTGGACTAGCTGCAGGCGTTTGATTGAGGCCTGGTCCATACCCACATACAGAGCGTTGCAATAGTCCAGTCTTGAGGTAACAAAGGCGTTAATAACCCTTTCTAAGTCATTAAAAGATAAATACGACTTGGTTTTGGCCAATAGTCTTATTTAAAAAAAGCAGGATTTGACTACGGTGCTGACCTGCTTGTCGAATTTAAAAGTGCTAGTGAAGGTCACTCCAAGGTTCATGACCGAGGGGAGGATGTTTTTTTTGAGAGAGCCCAGAATATCAACCGGAGAGGCTGGAGGTTGGGGTCCAAAAAAGATGACCTCAGTCTTGCTCTCGTTGAGGTTGAGAACGTTTTTGCTCAGCCAGGATTTTATCTCTGTTAAGCAGTCCATCAACTGCTGTAGTGAGTGTTTGACATTTGCTTTGAGAGGCAGATAGATCTGTACATCGTCGGCGTAGCAGTGGAAGGGAATATTATGTTTTGTGAGTATTGAACCTAGGGGCAGTATGTACAGTAGAAAAAGGATGGGGCCCAGAATCGAGCCTTGGGGAACCCCACAGGTAAGAGGGGCTTTGGCAGAGGAGAAGGCACCTAGCTGCACTGAGAAGCTACGGTCTGTCAGGTAGGACCTGAACCATGCAAGGGCAGAGCCTGTGATGCCAGCGGACTGTTCAAGCCGTGACAGCAGGATGCTATGGTCCACAGTGTCAAAGGCAGCTGTCAGGTCTAACAGCATCAAGACAGCTGGGCTACCTGAGTCGGCGGCTAGGAGCAGATCATTAAAAACTCTTCAAAGGGCTGTTTCAGTGCTGTGCATGGGTTTAAAGCCAGACTGAAACTTTTCATGGATTCCATGCATGGTTAAAAAAGACTGCAGCTGGGCGTAGACTACTCGCTCCAGGGCTTTAGATAAAAAAGGTAGCTGGGAGATGGGCCTAAAATTTGCGAGAATGGAGGGGTCGAGATTTTTCTTTTTAAGTAGTGGCTTGACCACGGCATATTTGAAGGCAGCTGGGACACATCCTGAGCTAAGAGGTGTTTAAAAGTAATAAAATACTTGCTCCAACTGAATCAAAAACATCTCTGAGAAGGCGAGAGGGAATGCTGTCTGAGGTGCAGTTTGTCGGCCGCAGGTGCTTGACTACATCCGAGAGAGAAGAGAGGGATACAGGCTCAAAGTGGTCGAGGACAGCAGGGCACAGAAAAGGAGCAGGATCTGGGGTAGCACTAGTGTGGGCTAGCCTAAGAGCAGATACCTTTTTCAATAAAAAATGTAAGAAACTTATCACAGAGAGTAGTCGATGGGACAATAGAAGAAACATCACAGGGATTAATGATAGAGTTGAGGACATTAAAAAGAACCTGAGGTTTATGGCTGTTTTTGGAGATGAACAGAGAAATGTGCTCTGTTTTGGCTGCTTTGACTGCCGTCTGGTAGTCAGAAAGGCAAGCACGAAGGATTTCTAGGGAGACATGGAGTTTATCCTTTTTCCATTTTTTCTCTGCACGCCTGCAAGCGCGTCTGAGAGCACGAGTACAGTCATTGAGCCACGGCTCTGATAGAACTTTGGTGCGTCTAAGCGTAAACGGAGCAACAGAATCCAGTATTAGTGTGCATGTCGAGTCAAACATGGAGATAAGCTCATCAGCACTAAAAGCACAGTTCACATCTAATTTACAGATCGGAGAAGCATTAAAAACATCAGAGAACTGTGAGGCAGTCAAGGGGTTAATCGAACGCAGACGACGCACAGGGGCACGTGATTCGACTCCTGCGGAAGAGATGGAGGTTGTAAACAGAACCGGTAAATGGTCTGAGATACGCGTTGCTGCACATATTTCATCCACAGATACAGACAGTATGAATTGATCGCTTTAAACTCCGCACACTGAGCTCTGATTGGTCAGCAGGCAGTGCTTTTATCCTGGAACCTATCCTGCTCCGGAGGCTAGCCGTTCAGAATAAGTTATCTGGCCCGCTAAGAATTGAACCAGCGTCGTAGGACCGGAAATCCAGGAAGTTAGCTCGCTAAGCGAAAATCCTGCTTCGTAGTATAAACCCCTGATCTCAGAGGGTTCTAACCTGATCTCAGAGGGTTCTAACCTGATCTCAGAGGGTTCTACACAGGGGCGTCGCCTGGACCTGAAAACATTCGGGGCTTAGCCCACAGTGGCAGCGGCACTACAGTGGCATTTTTTACTGAAACACCATACATGCCAACCTTTCCAAATCCAAAAGAGGTAGGTTTGCGCGCGGCAAATGTGCACGCCCAAATTAGGTAATCAGAAGAAATGGAACCCCAGTAATTACATGTATAAACCATGTATTTAACATATATTGCATCATTTTATGCATTTTTCAGAAAAAGTGGTAGTTTGGTAAACAGTGACATCAACGACATGTTTGGTCTGTAAAATGCCCGAAGAGTAAAAGACTGGGAGATAAATATCCCAAATATTTTTAATGTGTTTCTGGTCCTCTTTCAGTTGCATTGTTGGAGAAGCCTGTGACATAAGATTTTCAACAACATAATTACTCTGTAGCTATGTTAGTTTGACAATAAAGAACCTTGAACCTTGACAGTGTAGATCAGGGGTGCCCAACCTTTTTTGAACCGAGAGCTACTTTTAAAGTTGCCAGTCTCCCGAGATCTACCAGTCCAAATAGAGAGGCGTAGCCATTACTGACAGCCGACTACCAGGTAAATACACACTTCTACTTGTATAAAACTGACCTTTGTACGATTAATACTTCATAAAATACTGCAGATCCTTTATCTTACCTCTTTCTAATCTACACACATACAAGTATTTAAATGAAGTTACACAACAGTGTTGTTGATACAGAGTTGGGAGTTTATTCACACGTCACAAACTACAGTGGGTAATGTTTTCAAGAAACATTGAACAGTGCTGCCACATATGACACAGGAAAAAAAGAAAAGACTGAACCCTTTCTTTGCCATTATATAAAAATAGTGTTGCTACAAAAGTATAAATTAGTTTTACTAATAAGACAACTCAGATCTGAAGCTACACAGGAATCTGCTGCCAAAGTGCAATAAAAAAGACAAAATTAATAGAATCAAACCCTTTTTTTGTTGCATTTTAGTAGAGTATAAAAATAAATGCCTTTAAAATAGGATGCAAGCAACACTAGTTTCTTAACCTGAATTGATAATAGACTATAATCAATTTAAACAGAACAGATCTTAAAGTTTGCATTCTTATACCATTTTGTACAATAATTATAATGAATAAGTTCAAACAAACTAAAACTTACAGCTGATTAATAACGGTATCTAACTTGAGTTTTTATTATATCAAAAACCTGTTGAAATGCTACTGTTATTTTTACTGTCCCCAAAAAGCGCGTCGGCAGCCTCCAGGAATGCTTCTTTCACAACTTTGCCGTCTTTGAAAGACTTCATGTGTTTCGCAAGAACGTGACTGACACGATAAGATGCTATGGTAGCAGCCTTGCTCTTGTTGTTGGGCCTGGTGAAAATGGACTGCTGTGCATTTAGCTGTCCTTTCAGGTCCCTCACCTTTTGGGAGCGTAGGACAGAATTAGGAGGGAATTCCGTCTCGTAGCGTTTGTGCACTGTTTTGAAATGCCGCTCCTAAATTACCCTTCTTCGATAAAGCCACGCACGCATTGCAGATGAGAGACAGATGGACTTTGAATTGGAATAGATACAAAAATAATCATCCTCCCCACTCGGAGTGAAAATTATATATTTGGGGCTCTTTTGCTTCTGCCATAATTGTGGTCTTGTGTGTGCGGACTGCACAGCAAACTAGTGCCCACTGACTACCAGCCACGCCCCGATACATGGGGTCACGCCAATCACAAAGCTTTGATGCGTTCAAGTGCATTATTCTGGCACAGGAAGATTATGTTATAGGACATTAACGATAAAACAGAATATTGTTGTTCTATTTTTAGACACATCTCGCGATCGACTGAAACACAGAGGACTGTTTGTATGATGGGATCACAGACACGCTGCAAACGGTGTCCGCCAAAAGTCGAGTCCAGTGTCTATGTAGTGTCATTTTTATTTGTTATAGTTTGGGAAGATTGAAAATCGGTAGGGAGAGTCAGCTAAATCGGTAGGCGGTAGAAACATGTCAAAAGCGGTAGACTACCGCCCAAATCGGTAGGGTTGGCACTACCGTGGTAGTGTTGCATACCTGCCAACTTGGCAGGTATGCAACACTCCCCACACGCACACACACACGGTACACCCGCAACTGTTACAATGAAGGCTCGATAATCAGCTCACGGCATATAGGCAGGGGTAAAGTGGTATTTTTTATGAGTGGGGGGGCGGACCTCACCTCCTCTAGGGGGGTCCGGGGGGATGCTCCCCCGGGAAGATTTGTTTTTAAATATTGAAGTTAAATGCATCAATCTGGTGCACTTTGAGAGCAAAATGAAGAGATCTATGGATACCTCTCTCAACACCCATATGAAGCAGAACTGTAAACAGATGTACTTTTTCTTTATGGATATTTTACTAATCACTCCCCTTTTAAACTCTATTCTTGTTTTACTGCCATATAGTATTTCATAACTGTTTTTCCTTTATTCTCTTATTTTTTTTATAACTATAATGATCATATGCCGCGGAAATAATCTTTTGAATAATTTGTGACCAAACCGTTTGAGACCCACTGAGATAACTTAGACTAAAGTTAACTATCTAAACACTCAGAGAGTCCTTTAGCTCACCTGAGTCTCTCAGTCTGAGAGGAGAGGACTCTCCTCCAGCTTGTTGTGGAACAAACAGCTCCTTATGTCCGTTAGTGCAGCTAGCTAACCAGATGCTAACA